TGGGCTAAAGCGTAGGGCCAGTGGTTGGAACAGCAAAAAACGTGAAAGAGAATCCACCACCCACACAGCATAGCAGCGCGTTCGGTACAAGGCGGAACGGTAGCCCGAGCAGCGGCTCCTGCGATTAAACGCGATTTCTGCCCTTTATTGCCGACACAGCCGAAAAACACGTAAATCCATTGTGTTCCCTTGGGAACTTTAAGTCGCAGCCGCTATTTGGTGGCGGTTGCCGGAAAGACAGGGAGGTTGATGCTTTGGAAGTTGTGGGTATAAAAACAGACAGCAATGCCGTGCCATTTGCTGGAGCTGAGGAAGGAGAAAACTCAGCCCCCTTTTAAAGTTTAAGGCATCCTTCGACGACCCTGTCACAGAAGAGGGGCCAAAACACGACGAGGATAAACGGTCGGCCTTGCAAGAAGTCAATGCAAGCACTATTTCAATCCTTTGATGTAGACAATGATTGAATCCCATCATCCAGAAATCGTTTTGACACAGTGTAGAATACGAAACGCCAGCCGTACCCACAGAAATTAAGCAATAAACCGATTTGCAAATGGCAAACGGCAATGGAAGGATTATGAATCAGAGAGGTATCATTTGCCAAGCCTCGCCGCACCATAATCGCAGGTTGGGTGGTACACTTCGCTGTGGTGGGCGACAAACCGTCAGGGCAGAGGGGGTGTTTTATGGCGTAGCCCAAAGCTCAAAAATGCCAGAGAAGATCGCAACCACGGGGTTCCACTGGGTCGTATTTTCTGGCTCGTAGGCATGGCCTGCGCAACAACGCAGCATTATTCGATTTAAAAGCTTCCATTTTCAGCTGGCTTTTCCGAATGGTATGCGTGTGGGCTTTTGGGGTCTAGCGGAAAAGAGCGAGCTCGTGGGGCTACGCGCCATCCTGTGGGTTGCAATTGCGGCCCTCAGATCCTCCACACCCTTAGGGCCTTTTCTTCGGCGGGCAACCCTCGGAGTGTACGGCCATAAGTTGCGGCGCATCGTGAGTTAATAACTGTTTTTTTTTCTTTCCCATTTCTTTTTGACTCTTGTCGACGGCCCCGCTCCACCAGCGAACGCCGTAGAGCACATGTATTGCAGCTTAATTTCTATTTGGAAGGA